AAACTATGGTTATTCAGATTTGAAATGAAAATTAGAATTATGTCTGCCACTATGAGCTTATCAGCTCATTCTTTTTTAAAGGATTTTATTTATTTGACAGATAGAGACATAGCGAGAGAGGGAACACAAGCAGGGGGAGTGGGAGCACGAGAAGCAGGCTCCCCGCCGAGCAGGGAGTCCGATGTGGGGCCTGATCCCAGGACCCTGGGATCATGACCTGAGCCGAAGGCAGATGCTTAACGACTGAGCCACCCAGGCGCCCCTTGTCAGCTCATTCTCAAAGGACTTATCTGATGAGATGGGTGAAAATGTTAACTGTATAATTAAATCTGTCAACATTGGGAAGAGCTACATAACCCAGTGAACCAATGATTTCTAAACAACCAATGTATGATGTCATAAAATCATGCATGAGTAAATATCCATTCAAAGTGCAAGACAAACCAATGAATTTTAATGTAACACCGGACTAAGTTCAAGAATATGGCTTCAGGGCGCCTGGGTGGCTCATTCAGTTAAGCCTCTGCTTCAGCTCGGGTCTTGATCCCAGAGTCCTGGGATCCCCTGAGTTCCGCATGGAGTTCTGCATCGGGCTCCCTGCTCAGCAGGGAATCTGCTTCTCCCTCTCTCCCTCCCTCCTGCTCTGTGTGTGCGTGCGCTCTCTCTCAAATAAATAAAATCTTTAATAATATGGCTTCAGATTCCACACTGCAACAAATTTTTAGAAACATCTGAGTGTAGGGGCACCTGGGTGGCTCAGTTGTTAAGCGCCTACCTTCGGCTCAGGTCATGATCCCAGGGTCCTGGGATCGAGCCCTGGATCGGGCTCCTTGCTCCACGGGAAGCCTGCTTCTCCCTCTCCTACTCCCCCTGCTTGTGTTCCTGCTCTGGCTATCTCTCTGTCAAATAAATAAATAAAATCTTAAAAAAAAAATTCCTCTTTTCCATCTACTTATCTGTATGAGGCTGGGATTTTCTTCCCATACTTCAACCGAAACAACTTATCAACTGTGAATGCAAAAGATCTGCAAGTCCAGTGATCTCCTACTAAGCCAGACATCAAAGAGATTTACAAACACGTAAAACGCCACCACCCTTGTCACTAAATTTTTTAGCAATTTTTCATAAAATTGTTATATTAACAAATGAGTTTATTATTTTTTAAGTCAATATTATCTTTTAAAACTTTAATTTCTAGTATAGTAAATATGAGTAGATATAACCCACATAACAAAAGCTGTCTGGAATCTTCAATAATTTTTAAAAGTATAAAGGAGTCCAAAGACCTCAAATTTTGACAACTGCTATACTAGACTATTGTTATAGTCTTCTAATTCATCTGCCAGACTCGAGTTTCACATCTTCCAATTTACCCTACTACCCACCAGCTTAAACTCACTGTATCAGACTTAGCTAATTAGAGCTGTATTTTAATAATTTTTATTTCTCTACTACAAAACTGCAATTACGCTGAATTAAGTACAAACTCTTCAATATGACAATTCGCAGTGTCACTACAATGGGACAAGACTCCAATCAATGCATGTAACTGTATCAGTGAAATGGAAAGATAATGGAATCCCACAGCACCACATTTAATTACATCAATTCAACTACAAACTCTTTTTGCCCTCTTCCACAAAAAGAGAAATAAATATTGCTTTATTTTCCCAATGGCCTATCCCCTTTCAAACAAGACCTTGATTTCTATCCCAGAGAAAGGGAGGCTACCACAAAAATAAAAGAGACTCTAGGACTCTTAGCTTTTCAGCTTCCTGAAACAATTCCAGATTTTAATAACTTTAAAGGACACTCTATCAAGATGCAATTTATTAGGGGCACCTGGGTGACTCAGTCGGTTAAGCGGCTGCCTTCAGCTTGGGTCGTGATCCCAGGGTCCTGGAATCGAGCCCCACAGGCCCACATCGGGCTCCCTGCTCAGCAGGGAGCCTGCTTCTCCCTCGGCTTGCCGCTCCCCCGCTTGTGCTTGCTCTCCTCCCACCTCTGTCAAATAAATAAAATCTTGAAAAAAAAGAAAAAGATGCAATTTATTAGCTGACTTTACAAGCACACACCAGGCAAGATAAAGTTATGGCATTACTGAAATATTGGTAATGTTTTCTCAAAAGCAGTGATCTCTCAATCAGGGCAATTTTGCCTCCCAGTGGACATGTGACAATATTTGGAGACCTTCCTAATTGTTACAACTCGGGGGGGGGGGCTGTTATGGATATCTAATGGGTAGATGTGGGGAACGCTGCTGAACACCCTACAATAAGCTCCCAGACAAAAAGAATTATCTGGCCCAAAACGTCAACAGTGCAGAGGCTGAAAAATCTTCTCTAGAGACATGCTATGCCAAATACTTAGGCATAATACCAAACCCAAAGAAATGCACCAAATTCTCAAGAAACACTGTATACATACCTTACCTCTACTACCTATATTGTTAAATCTCCTAAAATTTCTTAGTCCCCTAACCTTTCGACAAATTACATAATTACAGATGTGCACTGTCAGAAATTAAACATCACAACTTGTATCCCTTAATTCTTAGGTTAATTGCTACAATAAAAATATCACAATAAAATAATATACCCAATTTCTTTCAAGCTGTGAATTTGGTTCCCTAAAAGTTCTATCTGTTCTTAGCTATCTAGGAGCTAGTAGACACGAATAAAGTCAGGTACCAAAGTACCATGTAATGTATGAACGGTATGAGTCCTCTTATCTAGGCTCCGTTTTTCCGGAGCACACATATACCCAGTCTTTTTACAGACTATTTTTAGGTTTAGCTGTTCCGTATTTGTTTATCCCTTCAAGTAAACACTGAATGCCTACTATGTGCCAAGCAACCTGAATACAAAGATAAGACAGGGGCGCCTGGGAGGCTAGTCGGTTAAGCATCCAACTCTTGATTTCGGCTAAGGTCATCATCTCAGGATTGTGATTCTGAGCCCCACATGGCTCCGCACCAGCAGGGAGTCGGCTTGGATTCTCTTTCTCTCTCTCCCTCTCCCTCCTTCCCTCTCTCTCTTTCCCTCTTTCTAAAATAAATAAATAGGGTGCCTGGGTGGGTCAGTTGGTTGGGCAACTGCCTTCGGCTCAGGTCATGATCCTGGAGTCCCGGGATCGAGTCCCGCATCGGGCTCCCTGCTCGGCGGGGAGTCTGCTTCGCCCTCTGACCCTACCCCCTCTCATGTGCTCTCTTCTCTCTCTCAAATAAATAAAATCTTTAAAAAAAAAATTAAATAAATAAATCTTAAAAAAAGATAAGACAAATATATTTTACCACAGTCTAGTAAGATAAACAGCTAAAATACAAAATGATCTGTGCTATAAATAGAAGTATCAAATAAGTGTTATGGAAGCTTGCAGGAGACAGAATGCCAGGAAAGGCTTCCCAGAAGAGGGTGATGCTTGAACTGAGAAAATGTCACAGAAAATATACTCTGTTCACATCTATGTGTTTAGACTACTGTACTCTTCTGCTCTTACACACTAGTTTTCAGTTTTTGCTTTGTCATCTAAACAAGAACAAAGTGATGATCTCACCAGTGTGAACAGACCAAAGTGGCGACTTTTTAATTCAATTTCCTCAAATCTTAATGAAGAGTGAAAAAAATAATTCTATCAAAGTATTTCCCAGTACCTCCAATTTGTCCAAGTTCTGGTTTTGTTTTTTAATATCCTTCTTCCACCAAGTAAACATATCATCTGTCACCCAGTTAACAAGCACTTCCCTTTATAAGACTGTCACAGGGAATGATCACTGCTCTTTTCTTTCTTCCAGTTAGTTTCTTCCATAGTTTCACTTTCTCACCTTATCCTACTACAATACTTTGAATTCAGTACCAAAGGAGCCATGAGTATAAGAACCACAAAATTACCACTGCCTATCTAAGTTTTGTCTGTACTTCCTGCTTCCTATTCCAATACTGTTATGAGTCACGAATTGGATTCTTTCTTCTGAATCCCCAGCAGCTGACACAAATAAAAATTTCAGATTTGGAATAGGAAATTAGCCAGACATGTAGTCTTATGGATTCGTTTCCAATACATTTACATCACTGACATTCTTCCGCCAACTTTTTAGTTCTCACGGTTTAGGTTACGGTACCGCAAATGAAGCTTCTGCCTTTACACAAACAGAAGTGGTACCAACCAGATCGGAAACGCTATCAAAGACTGCTTCTAACTACCGAATGCTCCCCGCCCCCAACCTCCAGAGGGAACCTTCAAATAATGGGAGGCTGGAACACCCAGGAAGAGTGATACAGGAGAAAAATTTCTAGACTGAGTCACATCTGGTATTGGCTAATCCCGTCCGTTCTCTGGACCTCAGTTTCTCCATCTGTAAAACTTGCACGTGATGTACGGTAGGGGGATTGGCTTAATTTCTAAGGTCTCTATGGCCATAGTAATCCAGAAATCCCATCTTTCTCCTCATCTAGTTTTACATGGAACACGTGGGAGGACAGAAAATAACCTTTTACTCCACTAAACCGACCTTAACTCTCAGATATTATTTTAAAAAGCTAACAAACTCCCGACCCACCCACCCTAAACCTCGGGCTACAAATTTCCCCCGTGGAGACGCCAAAGGCAAATTAAAGCCCATCCAGCACGATGGTCAAGGAAGTGCTAGGGAGACCCTACTCAGAGTACTAAGACGCTGCCCCCGCAAAGGGCCCGCCCACCTAATCACCGTCGGGCAAACGAAGGAGTACCACCAGATACATGGACGCTCCCTCCGCGTAGGCTGCCACGGGAGACCCCGGGGCACAGACTCTACGAATCTCGATTCTCTCCTAGCGCCCAAGAGCCCAGCCTCGGGGCCGCAGGGTAGCGCGCCCCGCCCCCTCCCTCAGGGCAGAAGGTGCGCGCCGGGGCGCGAGACTTCCGCGCGGAGGGCCTGGGACGCCCCGCGCACCCGCCCGCCCTGAGGGGAGGAGGAGCCTGTCGGTCCGGGGCCGCCACCGCCTGGGTTCCCGACTTACCGCGGTGCGGCAGGAGAAGGAAGTGTCAGGAGTGAAGGCCTCGGCCCGTCCGCCACCCGCCGCTCAGAGAGCAGCGCGCGGCCGCCACGAAACCGTCGCCGCCGCTACCACCACCGCCACCGACCGCCGCTTCGGGCGCAGCGCGCAGAGGGCCCGACTGCGTCACACGCCGCCCGCCGTCAGAGGCTCGCTCCGGGCGCTCCGCCCTCGCTGTCTGCGCATTGGCAGACGCTTCCGCCACTCTAAGCCCGCCCTGTTATTCATTGGGCAACGAGTCTTTTGAAACCTAACGTGAGGGCGATCTTTGGGAGAAGGGGAGAGGGGGAAGAGGAGGGACATAAGGAGTTACGGAGAGGAAAGGGGAGGGGCGGTGGGAGGGACATGAAGTCTCGCCCCTCTCTGCCGCGATTGGCTGGGGGAGAGTCGTGATGTCATACAGGGCCCCCTCGAAGTGGGCTTGTGAGTGGCTGCATTGGGGTGCACTGGGCGGGGTGTGGGGGAAAGGTGGTGACGCTATACCCAGGCTCCGCCCCCTGCCTTGGAGCCGAGACAGTCGGGCTGCTGAAACTCGGGCCAATCAGAAGGGAGGCTCCAGGATGGCATGGTAACTATTCTACCCTTTCCTAGCCCCAGTCCGCGGGCGGTGATGGGAACGCTTCCCCGTAGTCCTGCCCGCACTTCCTGGCCAGACCACGTGCGGAGCTGGAGGGCTCTCCCGGGAGGTCTGTCTCTTTGAGTAGCTTGCCTGCCCCTGCTCTGAGGCCCCAAAACCTGGCCTTCCCAACCCATGCCGGCCCCATCACAACCTTTCCCTCTCTGAATCCCTAGAATAGGCGCTATAAGCATGCCCTAAGGAAATGGCTCAGTGTAGGCTGTGTTACAAATGAGGATTCTTGGAACTTCTTAACGACCTGCACTTTAGGAACTCCTATTTATTCTTAAAGGCCTGGTTCAAATATTCCCACCTTCTCTGGGATGCATTCCCGGATCTCTCTCAGAGAGTTGGGCTAATGCTTGGGCAGGCTTCTGTTACAGCCTTGTCACTTTGTATCCTATTATTTACTTTTCTGTCTTCTGTGCCCAGGCTCTTAGAGGTCAGAGCTGCATCTTAGTCATTTGGGTTTCTTCCGCCTACCCCACTTGATATTACAGGGCGGGAAGGTTAAGCATGTTCTAGAAAACAGACCTAGTGACTGAGGGTCCCACACAGAATAGCAGGGACTGTGCTCAGAAAGCAAAACCTATTCAGGCTACCGCTCCACCACCACCACCTTCTCCTAGAACATAAGTACAAAACTGAAATGGGCTCTGCCCAAACGTAGATGAACTTAAATCCCTCTGAGTGTTGGACGGTAGCAAGGGATTAGAAATAATTGACTAATTTGTCAAAAAGTGGAATGGTTGTAAAGATGAAATAAGATAGGGGCCCCTGGGTGGCTCAGTCGTTGGGCGTCTGCCTTCAGCTCAGGTCATGATCCCAGGGTCCTGGGATCGAGCCCCGCATCGGGCTCCCTGCTTGGCCGGGGGCCTGCTTCTCCCTCTCCCACTCCCCCGCTTGTGTTCCCTCTCTCGCTGTCTCTCTCTGTGTCAAATAAATAAATAAATAATCTAAAAAAAAAAAAAAAAGATGAACTAAGATAATGGATAGGAGAAATCTGGTACATTGTAGGTGCTCAGTAGATGCTCAAAGGAAAAAATAAATAAATATATGGATGGTCAAATAGTAAAGCTAGTTTAAACATCTTACTCCAGCCACTTTCCCCCCCACTTCTGCATCCAAACATCCCTTCCTTTCCTCCACTTACCTGTGTTTTACATTAAAAGTCATTAGCTCTCCCTGGATAGTTTCCTGTAGCTTCCTCACTGCCCTACTGAAACTGATTTCTCACCCTCCAGTCCTGAAACCCAACTGTGATTAAACCTCTCTGCTACTTATTTATTCTAGTGTACCTAAGGCCAGGCAAACAGTATAGGTCCACATTAAATGTTTGACCATGAATGAGTGAATTATTGTCTTAAGTAGAATAATAGTACAAGTGTGAGACTTTTGAGTCAGTGAACCCTGGGTTTAAATCTGAGCCCAACCATTTATTAGCTGTGTGAACTTGGGCAAATTTCTTAACACCTGAATTCAGTTTCCTTGTCTGTAAAATGAGGGTAACAACTGTAATTTTAGGGTTGTTGAGAGAATTAAATGAGATAAAGCATTTAGCATGGTACCCAGTATACAGTGAGCCCTCAATAAATGATAGTTTTTCCTATTCTTTAAAAATGTCAAGGAATTCCTGGGGCACCTGGGTGGCTCAGTCAGTTAAACGTCCAACTCTTGATTTCAGCTCAGGTCATGATCTCAGGGTCGTTAGATTGAGTCCTGAGTTGGGCTCCACACTGAACATACAACCTGCTTAACATTCTCTCTCTCCCTCTGCCCCTCCTCCGCCCCCCCCTCGCGCATGCGTGTACACTGTCTCAAAAATTAAATAAATAAATAAATAAATAAAATATCAAGGAGTTCCCATTCTTAATATTCTGACATTGATTCTGACATAGAAATGGGGCTCAGAAGTACGTTATGAATGAGTAAGTAAATACATTCAGTCCAAAGTACTAGCGGGTATATAGAGCTGGGATCCTTAAATAGTGCATACTTGTGGGAAGACTGGAGGGAGAGACATTGGATGAGGGGTACCACAGGGAGAAATTTCCTATAACTCTGATGATTTCTATATAGGAGGACCTCTCGTTAGGTTCTCTGGTAGGCATGTGGCCCACAAGCTCGTCATTCCCAGGTACTTCTGCCCTAGGAAGGACTTTGTGGACCACATACTCTTACTCTGCCTAATTCGCATAACACCCCTTTGTGGTTTTTTTTTTTTTAACATTTTATTTATTAGAGAGAGAGAGAGCACAAGAGGGGAAGTGGCAGGCAGAGGGAAAGGGAGAAGCAGGCTCCCCAAGGAGCAGGGAGCCCGATGTGGGGCTCGATCCCAGGACCCTGGGATCATGACCTGAGCCAAAGGCTGTTGCTTAACCAACTGAGCCACCCAGGCACCCCTGAACCCCTTTGATTATCATCACCTTCCTTCTTCCCCTCTAAAGAAAAGGAGTTTGGTGCATGCTCACAAAAGCTTGCTGAGCCAAGCCCTCTCCTGGGCATCAGGAGCCCAGAGAGGTCCACAGCTCAACACTCTGCTCTGGCCAAGAGAGACAAAGCAAAGGAAAGTCTGTCCTAGGAACCCCCAGTCTCTCACAAACATACTCTGAGAACTCACCTTATGCAGCTTGGAAGCATTGGTGCTCAGGGAGGAGACAGGACCCTTATGGACCACAGAATCAAGGAAGGGCAAGAGACTTCCTTTCAGAATGATGGTCTAGATTTCTTATGTGGTACATTGGAAAGAGTGGCAGAATTGGAGTCAAACAGCTAAGTTCAAATACCAGTCTCACTACTTTTTAGACCTTGCACAAATTATTGAACTGTTCTGTGACCCAGCTTTCTTGTCTATAAAATGGGCACAAAAATTCCCATGTTGTAAGGCTGTTGTAAAGGTCAAATAAGGGAATTTGCAAAGGACTGTGCACATGTTTGACACATAGTAAGCACCCAGTAAATGTTGATTTCCTTCCTCTTTTCCTACCACTTGATAAGGAAGGATGATGTTTATAAATAGCATATAATTGGGTAGGTCCACTTATAAGAGATTTTTTTCAATAAATACAGTACAGTACTGTAAATGTATTTTCTCTCCTTTATGACTTTCTTAGTAATGTATTCTTTTCTCCAGCTTATTTTATTGTAAGACTACAGTATATAATACATATGACATACAAAATATGTGTTAAGGCTTCTGGTCAACAGTAGGCTCTTAGTAGTTAAGGTTTTGGGGAGTCAAAAGTTATACTTGGATTTTGGACTGTGGGGGGGTTAGCACCCCTAACACCTGTATTGTTCAAGGGTCAACTATATTCACAAAGTTGGGCAACTATCACTACTATCTAATTCCAGAAGATTTTCATAAGCCCAAAAAAGAAACCCCAGACCATTAGCAGTCATTCCGCATCTCTCCCTTCCCCCAGCCCCTGGCAACCACTATTCTACTTTCTGTCTCAATGAATTTGCCTATCTGGACATTTCCTATAAATGGAATCATACAACACGTGGCCTTTGTGTCTGACTTCTTTCACTTAACATAATGTTTTCAAGGTTCATCCATGTTGTAGCACTTATCAGAACTTCATTCCATTTTATGGTAGAATAACATTCCATTTTATGGATAAGCCATATTTCATTTATATATCCAAAAGTTGAATGACATTTGAATTTCTACCTTGTGGCTACTATGAATCATGCTATTATGGACACTTGTGTACGAGTTTTTGTGTGGACTCGGACGATGGGCAAATGCCCATTTGGCAAACACTGAGTGCCCGCTGAATGAAGGCGAGACTGGAGGCTTAGATGCTTGTTCAACTTCTTTATTGGTACGATAGATTCCATCAAATTTACCTCACCAGATTATTAAGAGGATCAAATTAGAAAGTGTACAGAAAGTTCCTGGCACCTAGTAAGAACTCATTCTTCTCCTCTACTTTTTCTCACATAAATCAAGGTAGGTGATAGGCTTTTGAACTGGCAGTGGAAGAAACGGATTCGGGGAGTGTCCATGACAGCTGTGGTCACACAGTTCAGAAAAGGCTCAGTCAGGAGAGTTCAGGCTGTAGCTTCCACACTGGGTCCTAAGAGCCATGAGTATCTTCCGTGAGTATCTTCCACATGCCTGGCACACTGCTCTTTTACTTCATTTAATTCTCACAGCAACCCTGTGCTGTGGATATTCCTAAAACCATCTTACAGATGAAGAAACCGAGATTCAGGACTGTGTGGTGAATTGCCCCAGTCATCAAAGAATTAAAGGCAAGATTAATGCACCTCGAGTTTCAGGCCTTGGGGGTAGTCTAGAGGCAGAGAGAGGGGACCCAGCCTCAGGGAATGGTATTTAGAGCCAAAGGAACAGACCAGGTGTCAAGACAGGGAATAAAGGCCAGGAGCAGGCATCTGTGGGTTGGAGCTAGACAAAAACAGATGACACGAAACCCTAAGATAGGAAACCTACATCTAGTTAATGAAACTAAAAAGAGGTGGTTTTTTCAGTAAAGTTTTACTAATTGTTCATTTGTCCTGGGGCCTT